CAGAAATGTGCAGGATGCAAATAATTATAATAATTAGTAGGATAAAATAAAATTAATCATATAATCTTACAAACATTTCATTATAAATTGTGATGAGTGCTATAAAAGAAAAAGGTAGGTAGCAGAATAAGAGATAAAGGAAGTAGTAAGTTGACATTTAAGTTGATATATGAAGGATGAGAATGCATTTATCTAAAGAAAAGGAGGAAGAGAATTCTAGGCAGAGGGAACAGTATTTACAAAGACCTGAGGTAGGATAAAACTTGGCATATATAAGAAACTAACAGAGGTCCCCGAGTGACTGACACATAGTAAACAAGAAAGAGTCACACATGATGAGTGAAGAAAGAAGTAGAGGTAGATTATACATGTACTTGTGGACAATGTTAAGTATTTTGTATAATAAGTGAATCTAGATGTATCTACTCAACTCTTTAGTCTTATGGCTTCTGTGCTCAGAACCTCATTCAGTACAGCAGTGCCTATCACTTCAGTACCTGAATGCCCCATTGCCAATGAATGCATATGCCTTGTTTCCCACTACTATCTGGAGAGCCCAAGCACAGGCTGATGCCATGCAAACTCATGGCAAAAAGTGTTTTGAGTGGAAGAGATTTTCCAAAGATGGGTAAAGGAAAAGGTCTAGTCAAACAAGGGAAGCTGATATTGTTGCAATACAAAAATATTTCATGTAGAAATTTAGCATCTCAGACTTTGGCCCAGACATGAGGAACCAGATTTGCCCTTTTGCTTAACAAATAGGCAGACAAAATGTATGAAACAACACTTTTAAGACACTAAATGACAGACAACTGAAGAGAGTGACCCATGAGAGAAGAGTAACAAACAAGGTGGGCACCATGAGTACCCAAGCTCACTGCCTGGAAAGAGATTCCAGGGAATAGCACAAGCCAATGAACCCAAACAGAACCCAGCAGTCTCTCTGAGTTGGACTTTGGAGAATCCAAAGTGGCTGAATTTGTGATTTGTTGGGCACAGTCGTGGGGAAGACAGTACAACTACAGAGAAAGAGTACCTGAGAATCTACAGAGAGGTCCTGTCAAGCTGAATACTAATCTGTTTGCACACACGTGAGGAAAGTTCTAAGGGTAAGAAAAATACCACTGTAAAGGAATAGTTGGAACAGTTCTGGAACCATACACAAGGGCACAATAGTTAATGTTCCCATCATCAAAAGTGGAAAGACTTCCCAATAAATGGGCATTGGGTAGGATTTTCAGAAGGATCTAGGAAGAGGAGTTGGATAAAATTAGTCTAGACTATAGGCTTCCCAGGAGGTAATTAAATAAAAAAAAACAGATTTGAAAGAATCGGACTGATTCCAAGTATCTTAACTGTGTCCCAGAATAAAATTTAATACGAGTTATAGAAGTACAACAAACAACGATGTAAACTCACAATGTTAACAAAAATCAAGAAGCAGAAAAATATGGCCCATAATCAGGAAAAAACTCAACAGATTCAGAAGTGGAAGAGATGATAGAAACAGCAAAAAAAGACATTAAGACAGGTATTATAAATCTTCTCCATATGTTTCAGAAAGTAAAGAAAAGTATGAGCATGATGAAGAGAGAAATGGAAGATATAAAGATGCATAAATAGAACTTCTATAAATGAATACAATAGCTGAAATGGAAAGTACGCTGGATGAGATTAACAGCACTTTAGATACTGGAAGAAAATCTTAGAGAACATTAATACATAACAATAGAAACTATTCAAAATAAAACACAGAGATAAGAAAAAAAGACTGAACAAAATGAACAGAGCTTCAGTGAAGTGTGGGACAATATCAAGTGATCTAACATATGTGCAATTGGATCCCAGAAGAGGCAGGGACAGAAAAGGTATTTGAAAAACCAATGGCTGAAAACATTTCAATTATGATAAAAACTATAAAACTACAGATTCGAGTGGCTTGACAAAACTGAGAAGTAGGACCATGAAGAAAACCAGACCAAGGTACATCATAATCAAGTTGCTGCAAACCAATGATAAAGAGAAAATGTTAAAAGCAATTAGAGAAAAAAAGACACATTATGCACAGAGGAACAAAAATAAGAAATGATGGCAGGTTTGCCATTAGAAACAGTGCAAGCCAGAAGACAATTAGGAACTTCTTTATAGTATTGAGGGAAAGGGAGAAATCTGTCCACTTAATATTCTATACTAAGCAAAAATATTCTTTTAAAATGAAGGCAAAATAAAGGCTATTTTAGACATACAAAAGCAGAGATAATTTCTCACTAGCAGGCCAGAAAAATTTTTAAAGGAATTCCTTTAGGGATATTTATATCCACAAGAAGGAATGAAAAGTTCCAGAAATGGGTAAATATAGAGAAATAGTTTCCTCACTTTTCATCTCTTAAAAAGACAATTGATTATCTAAACATTAAAGCAAAAATAATAATTTATTGTGGGGTGTATTATGCATGTAGAAGTAAAACGTATGACAGCAATCACGCAAAAGCTGGGAGGGGGTAAATGGAAATATATTATTGCAAGATTCTTTCAAGCAAAATGGCATAATATTATTTAAAAGAACACTGTGATAAGTTAAAGTTGTGTATTGTAAACTGAAGGGCACCACTAATAAAACAAAACAAAGCTAATAAGCCAGTAGTGGAGATGAAACATCATTAAAAATACTCAATCCAAAAGAAAGCAGAAAAGGAGAGAAATAGGAACAAAAAAACAGATGGACAAATAGAAAACAATAGCAGGATAATAGTTTTAAACCCAACCGTATTAGTAATTACATTAAAAGTAAATAGAACACTGTAATTAAGAAGCAAATTATAGGACTGAATAAAAAGCAACAAGAAATTGTATGCAGAACTCAAGAAATCCACTTTAAATTAAAGACAAAGATAGGTTTTCAAAAAAGGGTAAAAAAATATGTACCATACCAACTAACACTAATCAAACACAAAGGGGTATATATGATTTCATTTATATGACATTATGGAAAAGCAAAATTATAGTAAAAAAAAAAAAGCACACTGTTGGTTGCTTGAGCCTGGCGGGGACAGGAGGTATTGAGTACAAAAGGCACAAGGAAGCATTTTGGAGTGGTGGAACTGTCCTCTACCTTGATTGTGACTGTCACTGTATGACTCTGCACATTTGTTAAAGCTCAGCAAATTATACTTAAAATTGGTGAATTTTATTGTATGCAAATTATGCCTCAGTAAAGATGACGAAAGGGAGAAAGGGAGGGAGGAAAGCCAGGAGAGAGAGAAAAAAAGGAGGAAGGGATGGAGGACGGAGGAGGGAGAGAGGGGAAGAGGCAGGAGAAAGGGAGGGAGGGAGGGAGGGCAGGAGGGGAGAGAGAAAAGAAGCAGGAAGAGGAAAAGAAAAGGAAGGGAAGGAAAGGAAAGGAAGAAAATGAAGCATTTCTGTTTTCAAAAAGTACATTCCCTTCAGTAAATAGCCTCTGCTGGCCACTTTACCCCACCATGTAAGACGTATGGGGCCTTTTTTTGGATCCTTGTCTGCTCACATCCACACGCTGATGGTCTCACCTTCTACCTCAAGGAATGTATTAAACTATTGTCCCAAACAAAGCCCACTGCATCCCAAAGAGAAATTCTGGCACCCTCTAATGATAGCAAAACTTTCACCCAATTAAATGAGGAATGTCTCAGGCAAAAGAAACTGCCCATTCCACCTGGCTATCTATGACACTGACCTCTCCCCTTCCTGACCTCACTTGCTCCATCTCTACCACATCTTCCTTTTATTGTTGAAAGCCCGACCCAACCCTCTGCCCTTCTTTTAATCTTCAGCCTCTCAGTTCCCCCTCTTCAATAAGGAAGACCAATTTCTACATCTTCCCCTCTCCCACCGATAAGGAAAGTCAAGTATACATGGAGGTGTTGATGGTGGTCTTTGGTGCACAAACGACAGGCATAAGACATCTAAACTTTAGAGGACTGACACATTTCATATTCACAAGGACAACTAGACTGCATAAGAGCTATATGCTGAGGCTCTGGAGGAAAAGTTGGGATAACCAATGACATAGATGTAATAAAGAAATAAAATGGGGCTGAGGGTGACAGCAGGTGCAAAGAAGATATTAAACTCTTACAGAGCAAAACAAAACAATATATAAATAGCTCTGAGTGTACTCAAGTCCCATGCTAACAGGCAGTTAACCTAAGATGACTTAGCAAGCACCGTGGAGAAAATATGACCCATTCTCATGTCCTGAGATGATTTACTGGTCAAAGGTGATTCGATTCTCCGATTATATTTAAATAATGATTGTTTGGATACTCTGGAAAATTAACTTGTTAAACCTTAATTTACAAGTAACATTTCTTACTCTTCAAATCACCATGGTATTAAAACCTTTTTAACTACGTGGACATAGAAGTGGATATATGTGGGGCCGGCCTGGTGGCGCACGGGAGATGCGGTCCGATTATATTTAAATAATGATTGTTTGGATACTCTGGAAAATTAACTTGTTAAACCTTAATTTACAAGTAACATTTCTTACTCTTCAAATCACCATGGTATTAAAACCTTTTTAACTACGTGGACATAGAAGTGGATATATGTGGGGCCGGCCTGGTGGCGCACGGGAGATGCGGCGCTTGGGAGCGTGGCGGCGCTCCCGCCAAGGGTTCGGATCCCATGTGGAGACCGGTTCCCGCTCGGTGGAGACCGGTTCCCGCTCACTGGCTGAACACGGTGCAGGCGCAACACCGAAGGTTGCGATCCCGTTGCCGGTCCCCGGTACGTGCGCGACACCGAGGGTTGCGATCCTGTTACCGGTCAGTAAAAAAGAGACAAAAAGAAAAAAAAAAAAAAGAAGTGGATATATGTGAATCTTTCCAAATAATAAAGTTTTACTATAGAAAGGCATATACATCTCTCAAGAGCTCATCTTAGGTTCCCCAAGATTTAAGAATGATGATAAAGTAGTTCTCAGAAATGCCCAGCTATCTTCATGGCTTTTACTTTTCCAGGTGCTTCCTACACTGACCACACATTCCCTGTGGAGAAAATGGATGATGTTGTAGCTCCAGGCCAAGAATACACCTATGAGTGGACTGTCAGTGAGGACAGTGGGCCCACATATGATGACCCTGCATGCCTCACATACATCTATTACTCCTATGAAAATCTGACACAGGACTTCAACTCTGGGCTGATTGGACCTCTGCTTATCTGTAAGAAAGGTAAGAATAAGAACAATCAAAATGTTGGCATGGAAAGGAGCTCTACAGTGGGATGAGGCTTGGGAGCGTCTTGGTACCCTCTTGTACATCAAGCACAGGGAGAAGAGTGCAGAGACCAGAATATCATTTGACAAGAGAAAAAAACACCTGGTATTTGAGAGCTAAAGTGTATAGCAGCTTATACTCTGCTGAGAGAGCTCTTGGAAATAACTTTGACTAATCTATCTGAGGTTTAATTTGGAAATTTGGTCTGTAAACACATGAAACTCCAGCTTCCTCTTATAAACAAGCTGAACACTTTGGGTGGTAGGTTTCAAACATACTCAACTGACTTTCTAAGAAATTTTGTTGGCTGGGCTTGGTAGGAACAAGCTTGGATTTTCATTTTACCCCAAGAGAATTTAGCCTATCTTTCATTTTAAAAAAAAAACAACCACAACAAACCATACAATGGGAAATAATTTGATAGATTCACCATCTGTCTATACATACACACAAACTATACCTACATACATTCCCAATTCATTTATGCATTACAGCAATACATTTTTCATTGCCTGTTATATAGAAAATACCGGGACAGCACTGAAAAATATATATATATTTTTTTGTCCTTTTTGAGACCAGCTGCACCGCACTCAGCCAGTGAGCACTGTGAGCGCACTGGCCATCCCTATATAGGATCCGAACCCGCGGTGGGAGCGCCACACTCTCCCGAGTGCGCCATGGACTCGGCCCTGAAAAATATTTAAAATTTATAAAAGCATATTCTTTCATTTTACCACTAGCAGCATGTTTCCTCATATAAATTAATCCTAATCCTCTATTCTCTAGTGCCCCATGGCATGTACAAACAAGATGGCTCCAGTAAACTCAAGGTGTGATGCTTTTACCAGCTGAGCTAAGATACCTGTGTGTTTTTTTATTAACACTGGAAGAAATGAGTTCTTTTACTAGACCGTTGGTGATCATCAAATGTTTTCATTCTGTATCAGATAAAATTTACATTTAAAGCCTATTCCCAGAGAAAGTGCCAGAGAGAACACTTAATATGGCACCAGGATTTTGATAAGCTCCCAATCATTATTACTTGACAAAGATACTATTTTAAAAATATTTCGATATTATGATTGGTTGCTTGCCTTAAATTCTTTGCTATCGAGGAACACCTAATGAAAATCTTCTCTCTGGGATGCTACTGAAAACATATCTTTTCTTTCACAGGCACCCTAACTGAGGATGGGACTCAGAAGTTGTTTGACAAGCAACATGTGCTGCTGTTTGCTGTGTTTGATGAAAGCAAAAGCTGGAGTCAGTCATCATCCCTCATGTACACAGTCAATGGCTACGTGAATGGGACAATGCCAGGTAACATGTGGGCTGTGCACCATCCAACAGTTGAATTATTAGTACCTTGGGTCTTGTTGCTTTCCTCAAAGCACTAGGGGAGTTGACTATACTTACTGTTTTGCAGCTTCTAATCAGAAAGGTATTGTAATCTAGTGCAGCAGTTCTCAAGATGTTATCTTTTTTTTCCCAATCAGGAAGTACAACAGACATTGAAAGCTAGCTAAGAGAAGGAGTGTGCAGCCTTGTTAGGTGTAGTGTTCTGAGCAAGTTTCACCTTGGCCTTCACCTTCAGGAAGACCTCCAGGATACCAGTACAGTCTCCCTCAGTGACTTCTGTGGTTCCTGCTGCATGGTGACCACACGTTCTTCTACATAGGAAGCCCTATAGTACAGAAGTTGAAGGTCAATACCTAGCAGGAAGGGTCAGCAGAAAGAATGCAATAAAGACACTTTCAGTGAAGAACAGGAGATTAGAGGAAATCCCCAATGCACAAAAATACTACTAGCATTTCAAAAGGTGATTGATGAATAATATTCAAGGGCATTTGGGATGTTTTCTCTTTCCATTTGCTTGTTGACTCTTGTGAGAAAGCAAAATCATAGCAACTGTTAAATGGGGAATAAAACTGACTCCCACCTAGACCCCTACTTCTACTTCTGTCAGATAGAACTGACTTAGAACAAAATGTAAAAATGAAAATACTACCATATTTTAAAACATGAACCTTCTCAGAGGTCATTCTGCATGTCTGAAAATCATAAATGGCTTCACTTACTAAAAAACAAAAATTGTTAAGAGTTGAGGTCTGGGCATTGCTTTTAAATTGTGTTACATTTCATTTGACCCCATCTTCCACCTGGGTTATTAAAAGCACACTCATATGACTCTGGGTATTGATTCTGAGTTCTAAAACCAGGAACTTGAAAACATTGGGCTTAGTTAACTGGCCTCTACCTTGGGAGATCTGAGTTCAAGCCTTGCTCACTTCTCTACCTTAGTGTGGTCCTTGGCAATTAGTTGTCTTAATGTGCTTATTTACAAAATGGACTACTCACCTATCCTAGTATTTATTTTTTGGCAGAGTGAACAATCTGTGTAAATATATGGGAACTCCTCAAAAAAATAAAAATAAAAAGGCAAAATCATATGCACACAAAAAAAACCTAATAACTTGACCAGAGCAGAGAGTTATGAATTTATAGTTGAAAAAGACAGAAGAATTGGGGGAAGAGAGACAGGGTATGGAAATGTCATTAATGGAAACTGAGAATAGTTAATACTTGCAAAACCCTCTGCCTTATGGAGTAGTATAATTTGAATGAATATAATAAATGCTAATACAGATGTGTTAATTGCTGAATTCAATATGAGCATTTCTTTGGGGTGGATAGATGTTTCCACCAAAGCCTCCTACTTCCTAGTTTCTTGTTCTTAGTTTCTAGCTTTTTGTTCTCACATCTGGTACCAGGAATCCCTGCCTTATTACAATGGTCTCCTAAAAAAGACAAGCCCCTGTGTGGGTAAGGAATTGATTCTCAGTGCCATTATATAGTACCTAATAATTATGGATCTGAAATTTAAAACCCAAGCCAAGGATAGAAGCCAGGGTCGGAGTCTTCTGCAGAGCAAATGAACAATTTCCCAGTCAGTGTGAGCAAAGACAGAGCAGAACTGAGCTTTTGTACTCAGTTCTCATTATTCCATCCATGAAAGGCTCCCAGAGGCCCAGCATAATGAGCATTTGTCCACTGCATGTTAAGGAGAAAGTGTAACCCACAGAGTAGTCCATTGCCTTGTCATTAAAACAATCAGTAAATAAAGAAGCAATAGAAAATCTGCCCATCATCTTTATATCTTCCTCCCCTTAGGTGGAACTTTGACCTCCATCCAGCTGAGAGGATTAGAACCTCAACTCAGCCCTAATAGAGGGGCTGGTCTCCTTCCAGTTGAGACCAATTAGGTGTGACCAACCACCCCTTTGCGTCAAGGACTTTACCAGTTCTAACACTGAAAGTCCTGAATCCTGGGAAACCCCTCGGTCCTGGGTAAACCAGTTAGTCATTCCCTCTGTGGCCTAATCCCTTAGCAATCTAGTGTTTCTGAGCAATGTCTCGCATCTCTGGGCTCTTTTTTACCTCTCTAATGCCACTTATTGCAATGAGTTGTGACTGCTTGCCTGCTCCAACTCAGATGTCTGCTTTTGCAGGGTAGGAACCAAAACTGGAGCATCTGTTATCCCAGAACCTTACACAATGCCAGATGCATAGCTGGGGCTCAATACATGTTTGGTGAGGGAATTTTGGATCACAGAGTACTGGACTGAATGCCTGTTTTGGCCTCTTTCTCTTTCTCTCTCTCTCAGATATAACAGTTTGTGCCCATGACCACATCAGCTGGCATCTTCTTGGAATGAGCTCAGGGCCAGAAATGTTCTCCATCCATTTCAATGGCCACGTCCTGGAGCAGAACCATCATAAGGTCTCAGCCATCACCCTCGTCAGTGCTACATCCACTACTGCAAATATGACTGTGAGCCCAGAGGGAAAGTGGAGCATATCTTCTCTCACTCCAAAACATCTTCAAGGCAAGAAACTCTTCTGACAGCCTTGCTCCTGAATATAGGATCCTTTTTTCCCAGGCATTAAATCCCTTCTTCTCCTTTGCCCTTTCAAGTCACTGGCACTGCATACATACAAAGCCTTGGTTCCTAACTAAAGAATTTAGATATTCTATCTTTAGACTTATAACTCATTGGTTGGGGATAGGGGAAGTGAAGGAATTGACAAAGATTTTTGAAAATGAAGCAAAAGCTGAAGAGGTCTCTACTTCCTCTAAAGGAGAAAAGAGGAAGGAAACACATGCATGCACAGAGGTATTCTTTCTTGGGGGTATTTCCTATGCAGCCAAAGGAAAAGACCTAGATGCTAGAATATGGCAAACATCTGCAAATTTATAGAAGCACCAAGTTACAGAAACTGCAAATTTTAACATGAAAAGATTATCCTTTACAATGAGATGAACAAAAACCCTGGCACACAGAAAAACAGTGACCGTGTTGAATGGATCATACATGATAATAGCTGAGCTTTAAAAAACATCAGTGAATTCAGGTGGGGAAAAAAATTGGCAAGGTTGTTATATGGTATCATTTAACAAAATGATATAGTTACATATTTTTGCTTTAAAACTGTTGAGAGGAGGGCATGTAAGCAGAGACAAAAACCTAAGTAAATTATGTTAGTACAGAAAATGATTTTGTTGCCAAAATAATATGTATAAGCAACACATGTGAGGAAGTGATAATTCATGGGATTCTTTTGGTTTCTTTTCACACTGAGCAGTCAAAAATGTATTTGAAGTAGTGAAATTGTCATAATATCCCTGGAAGATAGAATTCCTAATAGTAATAAAACAATAATAAATCTAACATTTATTGAGGACAAGTGCTTCATGTATTGTTACTTAATTTTTAACAGCAATTTAATTATCTATGAGTGTTATGTTCATTTTACAGTTAAAGGGACAGATAACAGGAAAAATGAGAATTCAACAAGACCTAAGTCATAGTGTTTTAAGAGTCTGGAAGTTACAAGAAATCTTTCTGCTCCAGAAGAAACAAACAGAATCTTTCCAAGTGTTTTCCCTAATTCTTTGTGCCTTTCCCCTGCTTTTATTCTTGCCCCCTTCTGTACTCAACTGAAAGAGCTCCAAACCGAAATGTACAGAGGTTGCTTGAGCACCACTTTCATTATTGTTATTTAAATCTTCCACAAGGGCCAGCCCATGGCTCACTTGGTAGAGTGCGGTGCTGATAACACCAAGGCCACGGGTTCGGATCCTATATAGGGATGCCCGGTTTGCTCACTGGCTGAGCATGGTGCTGACAACACCAAGCCAAGGGTTGAGATCCCCTTACCGGTCATCTTTAAAAAAATAAATAAATAAATCTTCCACAAATTGATTTAAAAGATATGTATTTTAATTAACCATAATTTTCTCTCTCTCTCTCTCTTTTTTTTTTTTTTACCATCTTTATGTTCTAACTCAGCTGGGATGCAGGCTTACATCAACATTAAAAACTGCCCAAAGAAAACCAGGAAACTTCAGAAACCAACTCGTGAACAGAGGCGGTATATTAAGAGGTGGGACTATTTCATTGCTGCAGAAGAAGTCATTTGGGACTATGCACCTGTAATACCAGAAAATATGGACAAGTGAGTATGGAATGTTTGCTATCACCAAGCACCATATTAAACCTTTCCCAAGGGCTTCACTTCAACTCTACAAATTAGATACTGCTCTTATTATTATTTCTTTTTTTATAGATGAGGAAATGGGTCAGGGAGATTAAGAAATTTGGAAGTTCAAATTGTTCTTTAACACTTAAAAAGATACGCAAGTTCACTCATAATAATAGAGATGCAAATTAATCTTCACTGGAATACTGTTTTTTATTGAAACATATTGATTGTATGTATTATGGAGTACAATTATATTTCAATTAATGGACACAATGTGTGATGATAAAATCAGGGTAATTGATGCATTTATCATTGCAAAACTTAATCATTTCTTTATAATGTGAACATTTGATCCTCTCTATTCTAGTCATTTGATTACATGCAGTAAATTATTGATAATTGTAGATGCCTGGCTTGACTGTACATCAACAGAACTTACTTTTCCTATCCAGCTGTAATTTTGTGTCCATTTTTTTACCTATCAGATGCACAAGTCCAGATGACTATGTTGGCAAGGCTGTGGGAGATAAGCACTATCTTAAATTGCTAGTGGAAAAGTAAATTGGTAAAGGCATTCTGGAGGCTAATTTGGCAATATGTATCAAAATTGTGAATGCATATCCCCTTTGACCCCAAAATCACACTCTGGGAATCTAACCATATAGATAAATGTTCTTTTTCACAGGTGAAATGATGTATGTACAGGGAATTCACTACTGTACTATTAGAAGCAGCAAAAGATTGGAAACAATCCAAACTGTACATCAATAGCAAACTGGTTTAATAAATCATAGTATAGCCATACAATGGAATACTATACATCTGCAAAAATAGCTGCCTTTTGTTAAAGGAGTGGGGAGATAAGAACATTTATATTTGCTTATTTCTAGGTAAGATATGCTTATAGTTGCGTAAAGATATTCCAGAATTATACACATGAAATTAATATAACTAACTGCCTAGAAAATTCAGGGTTAGAAAGATTGGGTTGAGGAAAATATCAGATATGAGTGAGAGTTTTCACTGCAATAAAAATCATGTGAATGTATTTCCTATTCAAAAAAATTAAACTAAGAAAAGAACAAAAAAGAAATTCGGCCAAGATTATATAATTAGTGACAGAACAGAGATAGGAATCCACCGACTGTCTGGCAGCAGCCAATGCTTTTCACTATTCAAAATAAATTCATAAAATAGATATTCTGTCATGGGGCTTCTGCTTTTGCAAACTAAGAAGTAAAATGGGCCAAGAGGGAAAATGGTTCATGTTGCTGCCCCAGAATTACTTATCCCAGTAGCTAAAGAAGAAAGGTGAAGGAGGTTGCTTTTCAGTCCTTGCCCATGATCGGGTAGATGGTGGAAGGGATAGCCCAACAGCACAAAACCATGACTAATAAAAATAGCAAAAGCTTTGTAGGGTGAGAAAGTGTTTTTAGAGATTGAGAAAATACCTGGAAAGCCAATAAGCATATCATAGATTAAGTGATAGGATAAAGTTTAGAAACATTCCTAGTATACCCTGTCCTTCCGGACAGCTTAGACCTTTTCCCACAGATATCTAGGTTCTGCTGTAGCCACAAGACTGACAGATCTAAATAGCATCTTCTAACTATTTTTTTTATGATTTTATCAGTTGTGGAGGAGGAAGCTCAGAGGTTTCCAGTTGCCAAACCAGATAGAAGAGATCAGGACTTTGCAACCTACATCAAGAATTTTTTAGAGAACTAACATTTTAGTTAATCCATGAGCAGACTTCTAAGCACAAAGTTTCCTCATCCTACTGGAGTGTCTATTTGAGAGAGTGGTTTAATTTTTTTTTTTATTATTTCATTTCACTTTAAGAAAATACAAGTCTCTGCACTTGGATAATTTCTTAAATCAAATTGGAAAACATTATAAGAAAGTTGTTTACAGACAGTACCAAGATGAGACCTTCACCAAACGTGAAGAAAATATCAATATCAAAGAAGATGGGATTTTGGGTCCTATTATCAGAGCCCAGGTCAGAGACACCCTCAAAGTAAGTAACAGAAATACAGAACCGTGGAAGAAATTAAATAGTGAAAGTTCATAGAGTACCTGATTATTTATTTCTAAAAGAAAATGTGTTCATATAGCTTTCAATTCAAATGTAACTTTTAGTTTTTATTTAGTATTTGTATTTATTTATAGCTTACTCAGTAATACAAAGGATATGAGACAGTTTATCAAATTACAAAGGACTAAAACAAAGAGTTGATGTAATTGGGGTGAAGGATAATATGTGGACAAAGAAAATAAAGCAACAGATAAGTATAACAAAATACACATCATACGATCATATAAGACTGTCTGTAAATTTTGTCCTTAAGCTTTATAGCAGCCAAAGTAAAAAAAAGTAAATATATCAGTGCAAGATTTACAGCATCCATAAAAGAAGTACAGTTTTCCCTGACACTGAGGCTTGAAAGGAATTTCTTCCATGGGATCCTTCAAAATAGGGTGCAATGTAATGCAGTGGATGGCATTCTTTACAAAATTCCTACAACTACTTTAATAGATTTTTTTTAAAGTTGCATAGCTTTTTAAAATAATGTTTCTCATTGTAGCCGAGAGCATAACAGTAAACACAATTGAGTAAAAATAATTATTTTAGGTGGTCTAGGTATGCAGCTCTCAAATGATTGGTCTCTGATGAAGGTAAATTTAAATATGTATCAAGTATGGAGTTTTCCAGACAATTTTCTTTATGTATTATGTCACATCACTGAGATAGGTAAGAACTGGGCAGCAGAGAATTGAGGTTACAGTCTTCGGCAAGATCCTAGAAGGTAGATAATCTACAGATTAAGGATGATCTACATGTTTTGACAACCAACCAAATGGAAGATAAGGTTAAGGTTCCCTTTTGAAGATTAAAGAGCCTAACTAGGACTCCTGTGTGAATAATGCTCCTGGCAAGTCCTGCTCTGTTCATTTAAAAACAATGAAAGGACAAACGCAGTCTTTCTCTATGCCTCTTGCCCTTTCCCTATTTCAGATCCCTTTTAGGTGCTCTTAGCACATGTACACATACCTTACTGGGGATTCAGGATATGGCTCTTTGTCTGTGCCTCTTAAGAAGATGGCTTCAAAGACAGTGTCCTAGGAGACCTGGCAAGCAGAGGATGGGGGTCATGGTCTAGAGATGGGAAGGATCAGATTCCAAGTGAGGTGTGGTTCAAGCCGAAAGGAAAAGGGAAGGGGGATGGGGACCAGATTAGAGAGGGTGACACCATGAGAAAAATATCACAGCTCCTAACCTGTCCTCTAGATCAGATTTCTTTCCATATTCCACCTCAATGTGTAAAGCAAACTCTCTCAAACGTTCCCGGCCAGGTGGCGGAGGGAGGTTGCTGGTCAGACAAACAGAACAAATTTCCCCATTGCATGTGCACATATGCACACACACACTATTGAAAAAGTCAATATACGAAGCTAGCATCCTATATGAATTCTCATGACCAATCTTCAGTCCTAAAATAATACATTTGATTTAAATTTGTAGATCACATTCAAAAATATGGCCAGCCGCCCCTATAGCATTTACCCTCATGGAGTGACCTTTTCTCCTTATGAAGATGAAGTCAACTCTTCCTCCATCTCAGGTTTGAATATTTCACTTCTACTGAATCAAACAAGTGACCTCCGAGAGGCTGTCATCTTTTCCTACTGTATTCCTTGCCCAGTGGTATAACTAGTGCAGTCAGGTAGCATACATGTAGGCGTATCCTAAAAATTACAGCCAAACCCTTCTCACTTCAGGGATTTTGCCTATTAACAGTTACAAAATGTGGTGTCCTTTATTAGTGTCATAGCAGCCTCTAGTGGACCAGTATCTAATGGCTACATGCTACCAGGGATTCAAGTAGAATTTAATATAGAAGAATATTCCTTTCCCAATATAAATTGGTTCTAACAAAAGCTCAAATATATATATATATATATTACAAAATAATTTTTCAAATGAAAAAAATTTTTTAAAACTTACATTTTGAATTGAAACATAATTGATTTACATATTTATGGGGTACAGAGTTAACTATCAGTATTTGTGTATAGTATGTGATGATCAAATCAGTTATTATTAGCTTTTCATCATTACAAATTATAATTATTCTTTGTGTCCCTTACCCAATTACTCCCTAACTTCCTTCTCCTCCCCCTTTCTCACCTCTACTAACTATAGGTTTGTTCTCTTCTCCTGAAAGTTCACCTTTTACTGTTTTCTTTCTTTCTTTCTTTCTTTCTTTCTTTCTTTCTTTCTTTCTTTCTTTCTTTCTTTCTTTCTTTCTTTCTTTCTTTCTTTCTTTCTTTCTTTCCTTCCTTCCTTCCTTCCTTCCTTCCCTTCCTTCCCTTCCTTTCCTTCCTTCCTTCCTTCCTTCCTTCCTTCCTTCCTTCCTTCCTTCTTTTTTTCTTTCTTGGCTCCCACTTATGAGTGCCTGGCTTATCAAATGAAAACAATTTTGAATATATTTCCGTTCAGGCAGTAACACCATGATCAGAGCAGTTCAACCAGGGGAAACCTATACTTATAAGTGGAACATCCTAGAGTTTGACGAACCCACAGAAAATGATGCCCAGTGCTTAACAAGACCATACTACAGTGACGTGGATATCACAAGGGACATTGCCTCTGGACTGATAGGGCTACTTCTAATTTGTAAGAGCAGATCCCTGGACAGGCGAGGCATACAGGTATTTTGGCCTTGAAGTAAACTTTCAGAAATTTCGGGAATTTCTTCTGGCTGGAACAGGTTAGGTCTCTTTGCTAAATGATGTGGCTTTTCCTTCTAGAAAACTGTCAATATTAAGTAGTTGTCTGTAGCACGAGTATAATAACATTTATTGTTTTGGTTACTTTTTTGTCTTGTCTATTTTCACCTGAACTCTCACTGTGGAAGGAAAATCTGCGGTGTGATACTGTATTCTGTTTTAGTTTCAAATTCCAGTTCTGTTGATATTGGCCATGTGATGAGCAAGTCACTTAGCCTCTCTTAATTTCTTCCTTCTAAAATTTTGCAGGGTTGTTTGGGGGCTCAGTGAGATACCACCTGGTAAAAGTGCAAAGCTCTGTACCAATCTTCATTATTTTTAGAGACCTGCAAAAGGGAAAGATTCCCTGAAAGCAAGTATATTTGGAGAAACAGTTTCTAGTGAAGCTGGACCCAGGTAATGGTCCATCTCTGGTGAGACTGTATTATACAAAAGAACGTGAGCAAAGATACCAATCTTCTGAGTTTATCTTTGTTGAAGAATAATAACATCATATTATCAACCTATAATTCCCAATTAGGCTAAGTTATAATCAAAGAGGTCTCATCGCAGGACATTCAAAATAAACATATACCTAGAAAAATCAGAACTGGATACTCGGAAACTTGGAAGATCCTGATTTACTGAGTTACAAAAGGAAACAAGTAGGGAGAGACATGAGGATTTCCTACTGCAGCTTTCTGTTTTATCCTTTGCAACTATTTGGAGCGCAATTAGTCAATCATTCATGTTGAAAGGTGCTCAGTTACAGAAATAAACAGATTTGCTGTAGTCATGGTGAAATGGGATTTTCCTATTGGGATATTTTAGTCTCTGACTTTCTGATCTACTCTGTGTGCTTTTGCATATTACCTTTAGCTCTAACAAGTGCTTTGTACACAATGTGCTCTTATAAATGCTTTAATTCTGTGGCTTCAGTGGCCTCAAGGACTGTGCCCTTTGGTTTTTGAGAACTCAAGAGTTGTAGGTAATTGACTAGAGCATTAACCACTGAACACAGCACTTTCACCCTCCAGAGGGCAGCAGACATTGAGCAGCAGGCTGTCTTTGCTGTGTTTGATGAGAACAAGAGCTGGTACATTGAGGACAACATCAACAAGTTTTGTGAAAATCCTGATGAGGTGAATCGTGATGACCCCAAGTTTTATGAATCAAACATCATGAGCAGTAAGTCACAGCATGGTTTTTGTCCATCAGTATGACTGTGCCTAGAGGCAGAGACATGGATTAGAATCCACTCAGTAAAAGCACCCGTTATCCTCACTTCCAGTCCATGGTTAACATTATAGCAATCTTTTTAAGCAAGAGGTCAAAGGCTTGTTATCCTTAGAAGTCTGTTTGCTCTCCTGCTCCGTGTGTGTGTGTGAGCGCGTGTGTGTGCATGCGTGTATGTGCACACGTCCATGCTCTCGGCAGTGAGGAACAGGGCGGGGGTAGTGGAGGCAAGGGAAGGTGCTCTTGGCCTTGGTCAGTGGTATCGGGGGATTTGGGAGTGGGTGCAGGGTGAATACTTTTTATGGTTAGGGCAGAAACAAGATATGTAATCCAAAGCTGAATTGTCAAATCAAAGTAAAGCAAAGTGAGTATCGGGGAACCAATAGTCTTGGAAAGGCAATGCATGGAGGGGTTTGAAGTAAGCAGTAAGAAATTCAGGGTATGGGGAACTCCCTGAGCCTTCATTCAGGCTTTTATTGCAGTTCTAAAGTTCACTGTTCAAAGCCACTGCCAGCAGAGTCAGAGAAATTTCACTGAGGCAGCTGGAAGCCAACTCCTCTACAACAGCCAGAGTCCCCTCTGCTGTTCCTCAGAGTCAAGAGTCATCTCTGATAGACAGTTATACATATAAGGATGGTTTCTCCAAGATCTGTTCATATAGCTTCAGATATGAAGACTGACAGCTGGGGATTATCAGAACTGACAGATGCCATGGCAAATAATGCCAAACACGGAGTTATGCTCAGTTTTCTTTGGATAATTACATTGTGACAGTGAATCTATTATAGTGCTAGGCCAGTGCTGTCTGATAGAAATTACATATGAACCACAGTAACTTTAATTTTCTGGTAGCCACATTAAAATCTAAAGATAAATAAGTGAAATTAATTTTAATAATGTGTTTTATTTAACCCAATATATCCTAAATATCAATGTGTAATCAAAATAAAAAAATAATGAGATTTATTTCCTTTATTTATTACTAAATAACTGGACTTTTACACTTACAGCACATCTCAGTCCAGTCTACCCACACACTTCAAGTGCTCAATAGCTATCTGTAATCAGTGGCTACCATAATGGACAGTGCAGCTACAGCCCATTTAGAAAAGGATTTAGCAGGAGGTGCAAACTAATAACACATTACTTCAGTGATTCAACAAATATTTTTTAAGTACCCACATAAATATTTGTTAAGTGCCAGGCATTGTACTAGTACTAGGGCTGTGGTGGTAACCCAGGAAGCCCTCATAGAAATCATACCTTTGATTTTATTACCATGTTTAGTACATAAGTAAATAAAGATATAGCCTAAAGCAGTACGCCTTTTAAAGATAATTAAAATGTATGAACTCAATACTTGAATGAAAACTGTAGATTATCATATGATGAGAAAGGGCATTTTGTAATAAAAATTACAAAATGTGCTAAATAGGCTTCACTTCTCACTCGAGGACTAATATATCAAGAAGATGAATTTCTTATGTTACGCTTTTCTTTCTGGTAGAATTATTCTGGTTAACACTCCAGGTTGATCTTGAGAATATCTTTAAAGGCAGAGCATGGAGCACAAAATATTTAATATACATTCAACAAATAAATGAGTAAAGCAATGTAAATGAAAGGCTTTCTTTTTATCCTTACACTTTTCCCTTGGCTAACTTAGAAGAATTAGCTCTCATTTGAGAATTCTTAGTTTGACCTTCTAAGTCACATGATATACCTGTTAAAACTTATCTTGTTATAATCACTGCTTTGACATGACAAATGAATACTGGAACACTAATCTTAGGTATAATTAGACAGATGCCCTTTTGCTGGCATAGGCCTAGTATTTTAACAAATTTTACTCTTTTAGCTATCAATGGCTATGTGCCTGAGAGCATACCCACTCTAGGATTCTGCTTTGAGGACACAGTCCAGTGGCACTTCTGCAGTGTGGGGACCCAGGATGACATTTTGGCCTTTCACTTTACTGGGCATTCATTCATCTATGGAAAGAGACATGAGGACACCTTGGCCCTCTTCCCTATGCATGGAGAATCTGTGACTGTCACAATGGATAATATTGGTGAGCAAAAGCCTGGACACTTAGAGGAAGTTGACTTTGAATCTCTGGTCTATAAAGGTCTGCTGCAATTCTCCAGAACACCACTGCTCCTGAATTTATCTCCCTGATTCTCTATAGGCTTTCCTTCCAATGTTTCTCATGACTTCTATTTGGGAAATTAATGACATAAATGGGTCCAGGCCTTTAATGTAAGTTCTACTTATTCTTCTCTGGGCTAAGTAGAAAGTAAAGACACACAACAGCAGAAAGGTAAAGAATAACTTTTAGTAAGAAGCATAAATACTTCAGCCACAAAAGAGCAGTTCTTTTATCAAAATGCTCTTTTCAGTTTAAGATTGCCATTCTACCTTTGGATTAGTAATCATCAGATATAGGGCTGGCTGGTTAGCTCAGTTGGTTAGAGCATGTTGCTGATAACACCAAGGTCCAGGGTTGGATCCCGGTGCTTGGCCAGCTGCCAAAAAAATAAAATAAAAATACAGTGCCTTAAAGGCTGCGTCAGACACAGTTTTGTAGTTTGTCAGACCTGAGTTCAAATCCTGCTCTGCTATGCAATCTCCGTGTAACCTTGGACAAATTAATTGGCCTCATTAAGCCTGAACTTATTCATCTGAAAAACAGTATAATAACACAGAGTTGCTTTGACCAGTAATTGTAATATATGCCAAATGCCTAGCCACTCAACAAATGGTAACTATTAGAGACTTCCCAGGAAATCTTTAGTATGCCAGCCATTCATGCCATTTCAAAGAGTTTCAGAATTGCTCTGGACCCACCAAATTATTTATTACTTAGAAATATCTAAATGTCTCTTACTTGTGTTTGGGGGATAGACTTCATCATTATCCCCCTAACTCTAATCTCCAATTTTCAAACAAAATGTGCAGCTAATAAAATGTTTATGATATTCAAAGTCCATTTTATTTTTGATTTATCCTTTCTTAGTATGTTCTAAAATAGTGACTCTCAAACTATCTGTGCAGAAGACTTTTTTTTCTTTATAACCTATTGACCAATACTTTTAGTCTATATTGTGTTAAATCAGATCACATGATTTGGATGTTACAGCAATGTCAAATTGTTTTAAAAAGTTTCCTAAACACTTTATTCTCAGTTTCACTCTTTGTCATTATGAACCAGTAATCAGGAGTTCACAGACTAGCAGTGGTCCACAGACCACACTTGAGTATCCCTAACCAAAGTTCATTAGAAATTACCTGCCACAGTACATGTTTTTATATCATTTCCCACATTTTCAGCTCTCTCTTCTCTCTGTCTTCTGTAGGAACTTGGATGTTAACTACCATGAATTCAAGTCCAAGAAACAAAAATCTAAGGTTGAAATTCAGGGATGTTAAATGTATCCGGGATTATGATGAAGACTCATACGAGATTTACAAGCCTCCAGCATCTACAGCCATGGCTACACGGAAAATGCATGATTCTTCAGAAAACACAAATGAAGAGGATGTTGATGAATATGATTACCAGTATACACTGGCCTCATCATTAGGACTTAGGTCATTCATAAATTCATCACTGACTTGGGAGGAAGATAAGCTCAATCTTACTGCCCTAGCTCTGGAGAACAGCTCTGAATTAACTTCTCCAAACACAGATACAGCTGTTGGTTCAAATTCTTCCTCCCTAAGTAATATTAGTAGGTTCATTGGCAATAACCTTACAGAACCTCAGAATACCCTTCCTCACCCAGGAGCCACCACAGTTGGTCCCCCGCTGGAACACCTCTTTGGTTTAGACAACAACTCTGTTCTCAATCTTTCCACAGCAAAGCATTTCAGCCCTTATTCTGAACACCCTATAGAGGATCCTCTACAGTCTGATGTCACAAGGATAAGCCTACTTCCACTTGATACAGAAGGACTCAGAAGTCAAGAGCGTGGAAAACACAGGGGATCCAAGGCAGAAAGAGACCAAGCAACAAAATACATGTTCTCTTGGGTGAAATCACAAGCACATAAGATTAGGAGAAATTTAAACCAAGACAACACTTCTCCTTCCAGAACAGGGCCCTGGGAGGACCTCCCTAATGATCTGTTACTCTTAAAACAAAAGAAACCATCTAAGATTTTGAATGGGAAATGGCATGTGGTTTCTGAGAAAGGTAGCTATGAAATAATCCCAGATACTGATGAATACTTGGCTGTTAATAAGCTGCTGAAGAGCCCCCAGAATGCCTCAAGGACTTGGGAAGAAAGCACCCCTAATCCACACAAGCCTGGAAAGCAGAGTGGCCACCCGACATTTTCTAGAAATAGGTATAAATCTCCACAAGTAAGAAAGGATGGAGGAAACAGTGGACTGAAGAAAAGCCCATTTTTCATTAGGACACGAAAAAGGAAAAAGGAAGAGAAGCTTGCACACCATGTTCCTGTATCTCCAAGGGGCTTTCACCCTCTAAGAGGAGAAGCCTACACCACATTTGCAGACAAGATACCTGATTACTCATTGTCCAATGAAACATCTCTTCCCACAGACCTCAATCAGACATTCCCCTCTATGAATCTTAGCCTGATAGCCTCACTTCCTGACCATCACCAGAACCCCCCAAACGACACTGGTCAGACAAGCTCCCCTCCAGATCTTTATCAGACAGTGCCCCCAGAGGAAGGCTATCCAACACTCCCGATTCAAGACCCTGATCAAACGCTCTTTACTGCAGACCCCCGTCACAGATCCTCTTCACTGGAGCTCAGCCAGATACTCAACTATAACCTAAGTCATGAGCCTTTCCCTGTCGTCATTGGTCAAATGTCCTCTTCCTTGGAACATGACCTCAGTCAACCATCCCACTCCCCAAACCTCTCTCCAGAACTTGGTCAGACAAACCCTTCCCTAGACCTCAGGCAGACAACGCTCTCTCCAGAACACAGTCAGACAAGTCTTTCCCCAGAATTGAGCCAGACGACCCTCTCTCAGATGCCATCTCTTCCACCATCTCCTACACTCGATGACACTTTTATGTCAAAGGAATTTAATCCACTGGTTGTAGTGGGCTTCAGTGGAGATGACGGAGATTACACTGAGATTATTCCAGGACAGGAGATTCAGAACAGTGAAGAAGACTATGCTGAAATTACTTACGTGGCCTATGATGACCCCTACAAAACTGATATGACAGACAGCAACTACTCCAGAAATCCTGACAACATTGCAGCATCGTACATCCGCAGCAAGAATGAAAACAGAAGAAATTATTACATTGCGGCTGAAGAGATATCCTGGGATTATTCAGAATTTGCACAAAGGTTTGGTTGGTTTTCTCCTTCTATATTCTCATTTTTGCACTATTGCTGAAAAAAAAGTAACTACAATAGTCCAGAGGGATAATTCTGGGCAAATTATGTGAAGTACAGTTTGGTTCCCCTGTTGTAACTTATCCTATATTATCTCCTTTGTCAATCCCAAGATTAGCTTCTCTACTTTAGATGACACCTGGACAATATAAGAGCCATCACTGTGAGAAGTCTGATATTCTATAGTTAAATAAGCCTCCTATCCCTTCTTCTCTTACCACACATGTTCCTACCTCTTCCTCTTGCTCCAATGCAGAGTCCAACTTATCTGTAGTTATCTGCTAATCAATATGATTTAATTGAACTTGACTTCAAGTCCAAATTTATGATGTAGAAATCTCCTTTGGCATTTACTCGTTTACAGCAGAAAGTTTCTAAGGGATTCATATACCTTTTCTTTTTTAGATCATTTTCAGTTCGATTTTTCTTAGGGGTAGAAAGCCATATAAATCTGGGCTGTATATTCTGGGATGAAGACAGAGAGAAGAGAGAGGAGGAAAGAAGCAAGGCTCAGTCAACTATATATTTCCAGGGATATAGCATGGTGACTGTGCATAAACTGTCTAAGCATAGCCCACAGCTTCTACAATCAATTAAATACCAAGGTGTAGAGTAGGCAAAGACAATGTATGGTGTGACTTGTGCAAATTAGTTTATTAATCTGAGGCCTGAGATTTGCACATTAGAATTTGGTTTAAAACACTTTCTCCCATGACTTCCTATTTAAATGTAGCATCCATTACTATAAAAGAATAACTTGTCATTTAAGGATTTCTAAGCAAGGCTATCAGGAGATAGGATTTAGGGCCTGTCCAGAATGGGAAAGGGTACAGAATCTTGTATCCCATTCTAGGCCTACAGCCCACTTTTATGGCAGTCAACATTGTTTTGCTTGTCCCATGTGTTGTGTGAGATTGTATGCTATGCTCAGAGTCTAGAAGGACAGGATTAGTAAGAGGGAAAGACGGGAAGGAAGGCAGAATGAGACTCTCTGTTGATGGTTCATGGTATATAACAAATATTGTGGGTTTGATGGATTGGGAAATTTGGCTTGGGAAATTTGAGAGTCAGTGAGAGAATTTGATGTGCTTTGGCCCCAGACTGAGCTGATGAGCTACACGGGGGAATAATGTGCTTTATTTATTTATATTTTTAATTAAACTTTCTGTTTTGAGATAATTGTAGATTCACATGCAACTGAAAGAAATAATATAGAGATAACTCCCTGTATCCTTTACCTAGTTTCCCATCATGGTAACATTTTGCAAAACCATAATTCTCCATCACAACCAGTATGTTGGCATTAATACTATCAAGATAAAGGACATTTCTATCACTACAAAAATCCCTCTTGTTGCCCTTTTCTAGTCATATCTACCTCCCTCCCACCAAACCCCTTCCTTATCTCCTGGCAAACATGAATCTGATTTCCACTTCTATAATTTTGTCATCTCAAGAATATTACATAAATGAAATCATACAACATGGAAACTTTGGGACTGGCATTTTTTTTTTAATTTTTATTTTGTCAATATACAATGTATATGATTATTGTGGCCCATCACCGACCCATCCCTCCCTCCTCCCTCTCTCCCCACCCCCCCAAGAATGTCCTTTCCGTTTGCTTGTTGTAACAACTTCAAAAAGGTATAGTTGTTATATCTTCTCTCCCCCCCCCCCGGTTTTTTTGTGTGTGCATGTGGGTGAATTAATTTGTTTATTTTTTAACTCCCACCAATGAGTGAGAACATGTGGTATTTCTTTTTCTCTGCCTGACTCGTTTCACTCAATATTATTCTCTCAAGGTCCATCCATGTTGCTGCAAATGGCAGTATTAAATTCGTTTTTATAGCTGAGTAATATTCTGTTGTGTATATATACCACATTTTCCGTATCCACTCATCCGATGATGGACATTTGGGCTGATTCCAGCTCTTGGCTATTGTGAAGAGTGCTGCAATGAACATTGGGAAACAAGTATACCTTCGACTTGATGATTTCCACGTAATAACTTCGTATAGCATACATTATACGAAGTTATACGACTTTGTTGATATTCTTATTTTATTTATTGTTTTTCAAATTTTATTCACTTGTCTATTTATGTTCTCCTGTAACTCACTGAAATTTTTCAAAATAATTCTTAGACAATTCATAAATCTCAATTTCTCTAGGCTTGGTTACTTTAAGATTGATCGATTGATTTTGGTCCACAAAAACAATTTTATTAACCCAAGAAGTAAAGACCCAGTACCTTTGCCCTCCCACTACCCCTCTCCCCCCAATTCCCCTAAAATGGATGTTTCTGGGTGAGGGAGAAACATGGAATGGAAATGTTTCCTAATCCTCACCTTAGAAGACTGGAGGGAGGAAGAGGTCCTGTGTAAATACATCATCAGAGGTGGGGGTGGTAGGGATTTATTTTATTCCTTTGGTTGTAAAGGAATGTTTCTCTGGTTCTTTGCTTTCTTTTTAGCTTAACATTGGTGTTTGTGCATATGAACAAAGCAGGCACCTCTTTAATTTTTACAGTTTGGTTTTGATATGGAAAGACTTTCAATTAACTGGCTAGATATTCTTGGAGTCTTTCAAATCTATCCTACTATTTAGCTCTTTTGCCCATTTTTTTATTGGGTTACTTGTTTTTTTCTTGTAAAGTTGTTTAAGTTCCTTATATATTCTGGATACTAATCCTTTGTCGGATATATAATTTGCAAATATTTTCTCCCACTCTGTTGGTTGTCTTTTAGCTCTGTTAATTGTTTCTTTTGCTGTGCAGAAGCTTTTTAGTTTGATATAATCCCATTTGTTTATTTTTCCTTTGGTTGCCTGTGCTTCTGGGGTTGTATTAATGAAGTCTGTGTCCAGCCCTATTTGCTGAAGTGTTTCTCCTATGTTTTCTTGAATAAGTTTTATTGTTTCAGGGTGTATATTTAAATCTTTAATCCATTTTGAGGTGATTTTAGTATATGGTGAGAGGTATGGGTCTACTTTCATTCTCCTGCATATGGATATCCAGTTCTCCCAGCACCATTTGCTGAAGAGGCAATCCCGACCCCCGTGAATAGGCTTGGTGCCTTTGCCAAAGATCAGATGGCCATAAGTGTGGGGGTTGATTTCTGGATTCTCTATTCCATTTCATTGATCAATGTGTCTGTTTTTATACCAGTACCATGCTGTTTTGGTTATTATAGCTT